CTTATCTCTGGATGTTTGTAAAATCTTCAGCTCATTCTGATTGGACCATCAACATAAATATTGAGATGAACGCTTGCCTTCCGTTTTTGAAGTGATGAAGTTGCGACTAAAGTTCTCACTTTAGTCATTGCTTTGATATTATCAACTATATCTTTTCTCATGTATTGACGGACATTTGAAATCCCGGGCCAGATGCTTTAAATGACAGGTAATGCCTTAGGAACTGTCTGATTCACCAGCCGCAGCAGCTCAGCCAGATGAACACATACTTTTAATTTTGCAATATAAGCATGCAGCTGACTCAATTTCAGCTGATTGTCTTGTCGTGCATAATGCACATCCAAGATCTGTACCTTGTGCGTCGATTTCCAATTTGGAGTAGCTACATACTCGAATCGGAAAGTTTGCCACATGCTTAAGCATCACTTCGAAAGCTCAATTGGAAGTCACAATCTTATTGAATCTTCCTGATGCGTAGTAACATCCAGCTGGCATTTGCTCATGTTCTGTGCATTCCATAGCATCTCTACATATTTATGTCGAGAGAAAATGAATTCGTTGAGAATATCTGGATCTGCTCCATAATGTGTACGACACGTACCCTTTTCAAGAAGAAACATGATTCGATCTTAGTACTTACAACAGCTGTGACTTAAACCAATCAAACTTTTACATCTCGCTGAAGCTATTGCGGCCAGATGACGTGGATCATGCTTGCTTCACATCCATTCTTGTGTCATCAGCGCCATATCAGGAGAAATTTGGTGGTACAGCAGAAGTAATGGTGTACGTTATGTGGTAAGTTAGATACCGATTTAATAATATGTTCAAATAATGTAATTTTACCGCCGAATTCGCGGGTACCCAAAAATCTGCCTTACGTGTCGATAAGGCATTTTTTTTGTCAATTTGAAAACTGATTGTCCACTGGAATTGATATATTCTACAATAAGTTTATGAACAATATTCAGCGCTTAGAATTTTTTTATGCGCCCAAAATGGTAGCTGTAATATTCTATAAATTACGAATTTCGGGCAAGATAGTTGAAGTTTATGACTCTGCGGAGTAAACTTAGATAGAAAATAACCTTATTAAGTGCAATAGTAATATTACGACTTGTGAGTACACATTTTACATATAGCATGCACAGCGTAGAGGTACCGAAGTGCTGGTATGAGGAAAGTTGTGCGACTCTGTAAGCAAAAGTTACATAGGGCACGTGAGCTGTAAGCCTTAAGCTGTACAATGCAAGAACGAACATTGTTGTATAAATACGTTTCGTATAAGTCTTAGGAAACTCATTCTAATATCTCTCTCACTTTAGATAAAGAGTAGCTTACTATGTTTCAAAGTATTCAGTAGGCTCTCGCACTTACAACCCATCATCCTCTGTGCGTCAGTGAAATTTGAATCTCTGGTTAAAGTTTTGGGTATGTACTGTATTCTTGAGTACATACGCGTCACACTTTTGAAATAACACATTGCAAAATTGTATGAAATTTACTTTACAATTTAATAAAGATGTGATTTTCAGATGGAATATTAGCGTTATTTATGAAAGTGACATCAAAAATGTGCATGTGGTTTTCGGGGAAAATATCTTTATCATGAACATATAGAATTCATGATTGATTTATGCATTTTATATATAGAAGAGCATTACCATAGATTCCATTGCCTAAGGAAGTTCGGTCCCGCTTCTGGATAAATCGTACATTTCCAACCTCTGTGCGTTGGTTAAAGCGGACCCTTCAGGTCATAATTCTCCTGTGCAAACTGCACGGCATCCTGTTACACTAAGTAGTACTTGTAGACAATCTCACGCTCGAGTTGTGAAAGAGATGCATATTTTGTGAAGATGGAACATGAAATTTCTAAGGATTCGTCCACAGTTGGCATGCTCGGTAAGTTCGTGTTATTGCGATACTGATGGGATTGTGGGACTAGCGGCCAAAGAATCAGATCGGGTAGACTTTGAAACCGGAGGTGTATACAAGTCATGAGAATGTGCTCTTCAGTATCGCTCTACCTGGTTGTCGATAAGGAAGCAGACGATAACCACCAGTAGGCCGTTATAGAGTAGATCTCAGTCGTTCAAGGGCCAAGACAGAGAAAATTTTTCATCTGAATGAAGAAAGTTGAGATGACATTGCTTTATGTCATGCTTGATAGATAGGATTAGCGCGTCGCACACGCGGTCTTCAGATTTATAGGATGCATGTGAGCTTTGGCACTAATAGAAAGTACTGTTGTGGAATAGCATCTACAACATGAAAGACATGTGTTGCGGGTGTTTACAAAGCCAGGTAACGCGTATCGGGCACTTACAGCTAATATTTTATTCTTTATCGGCGCGAATTTCAGCGGACTTTGTCTAGGCGATAAGAGCTACATCGTTGCAATGACCGCAAATTCTCGCCCAGACGCGGTAAAGTTGCCACATTTTTGAAAGGTCTTATAACGATACGTCTCGCAATAAGGTATTCCCCATCCACCTTATCTCGTTCGAGGCAGAAGTGGGTGTCAAAAAAGCTGAAGCGATATGTGTTGAAAGTGTTTTCAAAGCCAATTCACGCGTATCGAGCATATATCAGCTTCTAATATACTCTTTATCGGCGCGAATCCAAGCGGACTTTGTCGAGAAGATAAGAGTTTTATCGCTGCAATGACAGCAGATTCTCGCCCAGATGCGGTAAAAGTTGCCACATTCATGAAGGGTATCGTAACGGATACGTCTCGCACCAAGACCCTCGTCAAATCACTTAGACTGCATAATGTACTAGCGACGGTCATTTGGCGGGCACGTCGGAGCTATGCACAAGCCTATTATGCCGATAAATTTGTCTATCAGCGTGCAGAGGACGGGAGGTCAGATGAAGAAAACTACATATATATTTTTGAGAGCAGTACTCGGGTGCATGTGTTTGATTAACTTTACAAATAGAAAAAATTGATTTTGGCGTTGCGAGGTTGGGCTTACGGGCAGATCCCGTAACGATAATGATCAATGCGGCTTATCTAGTGCCTTTATCCCATAAGGACTCGATGAATCGGTCTGGCCTGGCAACCTACTTGCACAAATAACCGACAAATTATGTCGGCACAGTATGATCATGCACCAACCTCATTTAAAAATGATGAGAAGATGCTCGGGTGTAGCAGAAATAGGAGTTTCAATGGCTGAAAATACTCTATGTGTGTAAAGTAGATCGAACACTTCGTATCGTATGTAAATTTCAGTCTATGCTGTTGCCGGTGCTTTACATTAAGAACATTTCGACGAACTTGATCGCGTGTGTGTCTTGCCCGCTAGAACGGTAACGAGGGCGTTTTTGTCCAGAAAATGAAGTTAATGCACAATAGTATGCTCTCGTCGAATACACAGCGCACCTGCTTGGCTTTAAGCCTCTCGCGATTTATACATGTCATGCGTCGTTATGATAGCAACATTGCCACCGCATCTCACCATAGAATGGCACGATTGCTTATTATATTTGCCAAGTTACCCTCTAGTTCGGGTATTAGCCGGGCCGGCTTAATGTGGTAGTTAATGTGCTTTAGTATCACCCTGACTACAAATTGAGCCATATCTTGATGGTGACGTTGCTAGTTGGATAGGCAATACGTACAGCGTACATAGAATATCATACGAGGCTCCACGATATCTCGTTGGGTGACCACTTTGCAGAAAAGCGATATTGCGGGCTAGGCGCTATTAATAGGTACGCACATTTATGCACGTGAGCGAAACACATCATTGGACAAAACCCCCGCTTCAGAAGTAAATTTGATTTTTGGCCCTCAAACGATGCGTTCGATAACACTGGTATTGTGATTGTTTAGATCAATATGGCCCATCACGCTGCTGCTGAAAACCTTCCTACGCATACAATCTCTGCTGTATTTAAGACGACACATCGTCCACGGTTTAGTGGACCTTTTAAGTTCGTGGCCAAGCGAGGCCTAGCGTATACGCTGAATCTTCCGAGAAAGATGCGCACCCACCCGGTGTTTTATGTGCGCTTGCTTAAGCCGTACCGGGATCCGGAGCAAGTGAACGCGGAAGCGTTGGCGCCGGGGCGGCACCCAAAGACACTCGTCCACCCGGAAGTTGAACCAGCAACTGGTTCTGAGCACGAAAAGCAACAATTTCCGTTTCCAAAGGCGCAAGGCCCTCCACTGTCACATGAAGTGACGTATTCGACTGCTCGACGGCTAGGAGCCGCTCCAACAAAAGCACAATAATCCTCAGCGCGAGACAGTCAGTGCACAAAGTGCTCCAAGCTCTCAAGATATTCCGCACAGCGGTAGGTGACCTCGGAGAGATGCTCGGCAGAGTGTTGATGACGACAAGCTTTGCCATCCAACGCTCAAAGAGCATCGCAAGCCACCGGACGGCGATCGACCAAGTTGTCATCGTCCGCCGCCGACTCTTCTCGATGAGAATGGTGGCGTCCACTACCACGTGGAACGCCTTGTGGTTCGCCGTCAACGACGGGGTTCAACCAACTTCATGTGAAGTGGCGGGGATGCTCAATTTCCGAGAGCTTGTGGGAGTTTGAGGTGCCACTTCGGCAAGACTGCCTAGACGTCGCGGACGCTTATGATCGGAAGGATCATGACGCTTCACGTCATCCTGCGTACCGCGCTTCTCGGCGGTCGCCCGGGAAGCCGGAGAACCATGTGCTGAGCTCAAGCTATGGCCCTGAGCTGATGTGGTCGTAGACTCACCCGTGTGAGATTCCACAGAGCTCGCAGGAGCGTTTTAGATTGTTCCATTTGTCGCAGGGCGACAATAAGCTAAAAATGGGCGCTGCGTCTTGAATTTGGCAAACGCAAATCTAAGATGGCGCACAACGTGAACGTCCACTTCCTTGCGGCTTCGCTGTAAGGTAGACAGCGAAGAAAGTTCTGGTGTCGCTGCACCCATCGCTCAATGGGGAGAGTGTAACATGGCTACACGTAAGAAAGGGCGGGTGGCACAAGATTATGCGACTGTACATTGGTGTGTATTACACAGTTCGTGTAATCACACAGTGGAGTGGCTACACCATCACCAGAAGCCACTACGTAGCAGGATTGCTAGTAGTAATTCATATCACTATATTAATTCGGTTTTACTACATAAATTTGGTACTCCTATACCAATTAGGAAAAGCTTAGGCGCAGCCAAAATAATTAATTACAGTCTCGTTTTTGAACAAAGTGTTCGTTTGCCTTGGTTAGGGCTTGAGTATCTAGGAGTAGCGTATTGCGATCCGCTACACTTGAACTGGATCCTGGAAAGAGCGTAATATCGGTGACCTTAGATAAGCTCCTTCTAAGCAAAGAGTTACGGCAGACCCGCTGCAACGTGGGATACGCTGAGAGAGGTTGGTTTGCCACAAGTAGGTTACTCAAAGCTCAGAAAAC